CAATGCAAATAAGTCAGCCTATGGCATTCAAATGACCACCTGGGCAAATACATGTCAAGTATTGAACAAAGGAAAACATAATAGCTCATTTACCTGCTAAGGCCTCGTGGATTTACAAGAATTTATAAGGGCAGTGATTCAAGCCTCCTTGGTGAGAAATCGATTATATATAAACAAATAGCATTGATATAGATAACTGATTATTTAACTATTTTTCTTTAACGCCTGTAAAGATGATGATAAATTTTTTAAAGGTTCTAGAAGCCTGGAGGTGTCACAAAAATGTGTCATCGAAGGGTGTAAAAAAGATAAACTAATGAATATTTAGAGGACAACCTGCGCCAGACAATTAAAAATATGAATCTTAATGCTGTCGTTTAAAATAAGGCGGAATAAATACTATGATAGAGATCACACTTCAAGAGTAAAACGGACATATATCTTTCTAAATTAGCGCTTTAGTATCTGAGAATGAATGCATACTTCCTAGCCGAATATTTACTATTCATATACGACTACACCCAAGGTTCTATGAGGCGGAAAACCCGATCAGGTAGTTTGGCGTAAAGTGGAAAATTATAGCATTTAAATAAAATCAAAAATTGCTAGGATAAAATAGCATAGAATGACAGGACATGAGATAGCAACATATAATTCCACGGAGTTGTGCCACAAATTAATATGCAGGAAATGAATGTTCTAAAGCAGACAAAGCCTGCAACGATTACAGGCCCAAGTCACCACAATTGTAGACGATATAAACAAGGACTATTAATAGCAAATGCGCTTAACTTTTACAAATATATAGGTACAAAAACGACTAATTAATAACCAATATTGACTAAATTATTCAGCAAGCAGACTGCTCAAATTCCGAAATTCAGTGTAGGTTGCCTCAAGCATTAGTTATTTTTTAAAGTGATACTTACCGACCTAAAGACGATGTAAGACGCCATAACTTAGATATGTAAAGAATAGTGATTTTCTCAAACATAGGCTAAACCAAATACTAAAACAGAAGCCCTTAAAGTTGGCAGAGATCCAGTTATGAGAAATAATGTTACAAAGTACGCATAAGATTTAGTGAGTAATCTTAGGAAGTTTAGTGAAAATAGACTCCATGGCCCAAAATAAATTTGAGCAAAGAGAGTAACCTTTTATTGGCAAACGATCAACGAAAGGCGAGTATAGCGAGGAGAACAAAAAGCGCGCTAGAGTCTTAAAATAATCAAGTTTCACATATTCCCTTATATATTGTATATCCTTAATCTATAGTCATATAAATAATTTAGAAACTTTATAGTATGATTTGTTTAAGATATTTGGCTAGTGGTTCTTCTTTTAAGCCATGAGCGATACTTGTCAGTTAGTCCTAACAATAAAGTTCAAGGGCCAGCCCTTAACTATTGGCCCTCTTCTCAGTACTCTTACTATCAATCAGTTAAAGGATGAAATATTCAAGCATACAAATGTATCTCCGGAAAATCAAAAGTTGCTTGGATTAAAGCCAGCGCCAGGTATGCTCAGTCCCGCTTCATGTTTAGGCTTGAAGCTGAGCGACTCCCTTCATCTTTCGGAGACTTCTCTCTCTTCTACATCAAAACTTATGCTCATGGGCTCCACGCAGGATGAAATGGTTAGTATGCTACTTAAATTGATTTGCCATTCTTCACCAGAAAACCTTAACGAATTTACAAGTGGAAGCTCCTGATGTTGTAGATGATTTTGACATCAAAGGTGAGGATATAAATATTTCAACCATGTAAGTTGCTCTTTTGTCATTGTCAGGCCTGAGTATTTAGAAAAAATAGAGCGTCGATCTAAAACCTATAAAGCTACAAAAATTGCAGACTTTAGAGAATCTAAACGCCTCCTTGTACTTGATATTGACTACACAATATTCGGTAAGCTCTTATACTTTTTATTAATATTTATAGTACACGCTCGTAAATCTGTCTTATCTCAATTAATCGATAGTACCTGATTAAACTTTACTTTTATCAGCTCGATCCATAATTAGGACACTCTCTTTTAGCTCCAATTTCACAGTCGCTCAGATTTGGCGTAGCTTCAAACATCTCGGTAGTTTCTGTCTTTCAGGCTGATCTGTCAAAGCTTACTCCTATCATGGCTAGTGGGGCGTGATGAATTCACCTCTGTTTTTCTTATATTAATGATATAGCTAGGTTTCCTTTATATTCTTATTACGTATATTACGATTACTTATACATTTATGTTTGGATTGCACGATTCAGAATACCTGCATTTCAGCCGAAACACAGTATTAATTCAGAATAAAAATTATTTTTAATATTTCGAATGATGAAGTAACTTAAATTGTTTTTAATTAACCAATGGCAGACCTTTCATGTTCTGCTTAATGTTTTTGAATGTGTATATTATTTTCTTATATTGGACTGTAAGTGGTTAATTTCAGTCTGCCAGTCCGATATGAAAACCTGTTGAAGTTGGTCCAGAACGAAGTTGTTCCTGATAGATGCGAACTTAAACTTTATTGAGCGTTTTTTATCTTCAAGCGAATAAGTAGATTATTTTATGCCTCAATTACTGCTTGCTTATCTGATTGTCTTTAATAATTATTGATTTTTTCATCAATTTTCTTATTTGACATTTCGTTCACTAAATTCAAATTATTCGGTTTGGAATCATTTCATTATTTTGCACTCATTATTTACCACAAATTACTCCTTGCGATGTTCTAGTCTGGAATCCTAACCTTATATTTCGGCGCATT